TTGTGCCGTTTTAGGTTCGGATAATGAGCTGTGTGCTCCTGCGAAGGAGTGTTAGAGAATTTATTTGAAAAATACTTATATGGTCTAAATACTCGTATGGTCCGGCCCGTTAATAACCAAACGAGTATAATACTCACGCGTATGGTCCGGCCCGTTAATAACCAAACGAGTATAATACTCACGCGTATGGTCGGACCATATAGGTATACGCATATGGTCATGATCATACCCGTATGGTCCAAATACTCATATGGTCCGGACCATATATATAAATTTAAACATGAAAATAGATATATAGGCAAATTTCAGTTGAAAGGCCAATATTTTGAAAATTTTGATTTACGGAAAGTGGTAAAGTAGAGAAGAGCCAAAAAAAAATTCATACAATGTGAAACTATATAAAGTCAAATAGACAGAATGATCTTTCACCTTTAAAATGAATTGTTTAGAATAAAAAAAAAAATTTAAAACATGGGGTTTTAAATTTCTGTCTAGTAAGGTAGCTATTTAAGATGCTTGGGTAGCAATTTGAATGTAGAGTACATAATAAAAAAATCTCCATCTTATACATTTATTTCAATCGGGTAGCTTGTTTGGATCTGACAAATCTTTCACAATGCTCACACAAGCGCTAATTTTGCAAGTATGTTAAAATTCGGCTACATTAACAAGGTTGATTTTTTATTGTCTTCGGTATAACTTCAATTTACTCAATTGTCTTTGTAATATTCTATCATTTTGCCATGATATGTGCTAAACACCCCAACATTTTACTTTGCAATAAGCAAAGAGTGATAAAATTTAATACATGCAGCCTCATCCATCTATAACAGCCACTTCCTTGAAACTTAAATAAGAAAAAAGATAAAACAAAGGTTTGCGTTATTTCGCAAAAGTTTGCGTTATAACGCAAACATGGGAAAAAATATTAAAAAAAAATTGTGTGGCGCTAATATGCTTCCGTAGATCAGTTTATGGTTTATTACTTTTCTTACTCAATAAATCCGCAAAACTTTAAAAAAAATGATATTTACATGTATAGTTGATAAGATAAGGGTTGGTAGAATTACAAGCATGATTGTTTAGTTTTCAAAGAAGTGTGCTAGATGATACTTTTCCATAAAATAGAAAATTTTGTTCAAAATGAATGTTTGAACTATCAACGTCCAGGTATAGACAAAAATCATATATCTATACCGTTAGATCTGTTTCCTTAAACATAAGATATCGTTTTATGATTTTTGGTAATGGTAGGTCATTCACTTTGTCTACCAGATTTCTCCCAAAGTTGTAAGATAAACAACGCCGTGCCAGGCCCATTAGTTGTTGTGGAGTAGCAGTAAGACACATTAGATATTCTCGTTGATTCTGAATTAAATTAGTACTCTTTTTAATTGCTTCTCTGTCGATATTCCTTGTGGCGGTGATAAGTAAATGTAATATTTCTTTTTGGCAACAATCCGACAAATGCAGAAGTATACCGAAAGGATCATGTTTACCACATGGCAAAAAAGTTGTGAAATTTACGTTTGCTCCATACTTCAATAGCAAACATACAATTGCTGTGTCTAAACTACTCTTGTTGTTTTTTAAGTATTGCCCAATGACAGAGATGGATGAAGGTGAATGATATAAATTTGGATCTGATCCATTCTGCAGAAGAATTGTTATAATCTCCATACGATTCAACAATTTTGAAGTTTTCACAGCCAGCATCAAAGGAGAAAAGTTATCATCTGACATATCGTTAACTTGCGCGCCATATGACAATACTAGCCGACAAATATACGGACTGTCAACAAGGACTGCTTCATGAAGTGGGCTGTATTTACAACCCGTTTCTTTCGACACGTTAGCACCACTTTGCAATAATATTTTCACTACACAAGTAGCATTGTATTCGATCGCAGTATTAAGAGGAGTGTTCCATTTGTAACAGGACCTACACTGTAAATTGACATCAGAGCCAAATCTCAGAAGAAGACAAATTGTATTTACCATGTTTTCTTTACATGCTTTCACAAGAGGCGTCATCCTATAACGACTAAACAAATTCGGATTCGCTCCGTGCTTTAGTAACAACTCTAAACATGTTATATGGTTGATAGGTACCAAATTGATTTCATATCCCATGTAGTACTTTTTATTTGAAAGCGCTCCTCTTTCAAGTAAAAGCCTAACACATTGTACATGATTGTTTTCGATGGCCATATTAAGGGGATCATACGTTAAATAACCCATTTCTCGAATATAATTTGGGACATCTTTCCTATCTGCACCACAGTAATTAACGATCGCATCGTTATCTAACAATACTTGCATTGCTTTGAAATACCCACGACAAGCAGACAACAGTAAAGGTGTTAATCCGGTTTCATCGGTAATGTTAACCTCCGCTCCTTCGGACAATAATAAACTAACACATTCAACATAATTGTTGTCAACGGCATAATGTAAAGGACGAATACCGTTCTCGGCAGCCTTGTTAACACAAGCACCTGCTTCAACTAAACGTTTTATTTCTGTAATCGGTGATTTCAGAGATATGGCATTTAAAAGTAACAATTGAGGCTGTGTTAATTCATCATGTTGTCTCTCTCTCTCCTCTTCAAATTCCTCCTAAATAACAAGGTAAATTTATAAAATTATATCATTTTCCATGTATTGTTCATATAGCTGATACAATCCACAAAAACTCCTATATCAGCCTGAGGTTTGCAAAATATTACGTATATAAACATATTATAGTGTTAGATACGTTTGAATTAGGCATTAGTTTTCAACTCAGCTTCTTCTAAAAATCATGAAACAACTTTTTTTTATTTAAGAACAGTCACTTTTGGAAGGACATGGCGCAATAGAGGCGTCTGCAGAAACAACATAAGTGAAATTTGTAATCATCAAAGACATGTCTAACAATTTATACATTTTACTTACCTCAAGTCCATCCCAGAATATCATCTTTAAACAATAAGGAGATGTGGTAAGATAGTCAATGAGATAACTATCCACCAGAGAACCACTGTGCTTTCATATAAACGAACAGGTACACGTGCGCCACACATGTATTATGTATATATACACACGGATATAATATTGTAACCGTATATGATATGTTAATCAGCAATCATACCACTAATTATATAACTCAGATTAATATATCTATTACATAGAATGTTCAATCGATTGGAAAAAAAAGAATATCTGCTATAACATCTACGTACACTACTTGTATCTATGAATTTAAGAATACCTGTATTCGCCGAGTACCTTTGTTATTAAATTCCAGAGAATAGGTGTCATTGGGGGATTATTTTATACAGAATTAGGTAACAAGACGCTTATTACTGTTTTCGCAACAAATAAGAATAAGCCGGAAAATATGACTACATATATATCTTTTTTTTCGCAAAATACTGGTTTTAGGTAACTATGTTACACGCTATAAATGTGTGGCACCACAATTTTTATTCATATGCCATTAAGACAAAACCATGCAATGAGGTGGTGCTTTTTTTTTTTCACGTGAAGTCTCGTATGTAGCTTTTCACATTTTCAAAATTATACAGAATAAACATGACAGTTTTCGGGCTATCAACAAGCAAATGTGATCTTCATGTTAGAGCGACCCATCATGGGCTACCTACAAGCCAATGTGATCTTCATGTTAGAGCGGTCTATTATATATGGGCTATCTACAAGCCAATGTGATCTTTATGTTAGAGTGGCCCTTTATGCATGGGCTATCTACAAGCCAATGTGATCTTCATGTTAGAGCGGCCCATTATGAACTATCTACAAGCCAATGTGATCTTCATGTTAGAGCGGCCTATTATATATGGGCTATCTACAAGCCAATGTGATCTTTATGTTAGAGTGGCCCTTTATGGGCTATCTACAGGCCAATGTGATCTTCATGTTAGAGCGGCCCATTATCATCAGTGAACTATCTACAAGCCAATGTGATCTTCATGTTAGAGCGGCCTATTATGGGCTATCTACAAGCCAACGTGATCTTCATATTAGAGGGGACATTGTGATTGAAGTTTTTGAAGAAAAAAACCCTGAAAAATACACTTAAACAAATAATTTTACAATAAAGATGCTTTTCGTTTGGTTGTTTTTAAATGTTTTGTGTGAATTCTACTACATTTGATTACAAAAATAATTCTGCTAGTACATGTACGGGTGCAAAATTAGCACCCCTCGGAAGACCGACTGTTTAATCTTGTTGCTTATCATATAGAACATTTAGAACATTACTTTGTGCAACATTGTTCCACAAAAAAGATATCTTAACTAAAGAATAAATCAACTACTGTAGGAAAGCTTTTTGTGTTTACAGCCCACTGAATAAGGAAACAATTATCTTTCTTTGTTTGACGTGAGTACTTAATTGTAACACTCGCAACTCAGAGAATAAATTTCTTAACAACGACTGACATGAAAGCTGCTGCTGAACACCACATGGTTCCGACTATGCATTGGTTTCCTAAATTACACAAGAAACATACATTTTATACACATGTGCATTTTAACGGTACTACAATCTGTCGATCGTTTGGCATTTTGGCATTGCACAAGGTCATGTTTTTCTCTGATTGTTAATGACGTCTTTACACTAAATCCATTGGATGTTGGATGTGTACTGATTGATATTTTAGTCTTAGATACATGATTTGTTTAATTAGTTGTTATTGAATTGAACTAGCTGTCAGTAACTGCGAGTACCCTCAGATCTGCACTTTGTGTCCTTTTTGTTGTTAGGGATGGGGGATGGATAAATACTCTGCCACGTCTGGTCTGTGTTTATGTTTGATGTTTTTCTGCTTTGTATCAGTCTGATCAGTTAATGTGGTATTTCTATGAAAATAAACTGTGCTCCCATTATTGCAGATTTAATCCCTTCCTGCATGTTATTATGAATCCCAATCTATGGCAAAAGCTTCAAAAAGACTGAACAAAACACCATTTGGTAAATATTTTTAACAACACTAGCAGATATTTAGATGATTTTATTTAACCAAATATATAAAAATTCAGATCTTTTGAAATATATTGATAACATTTATTCGCCTGATCTTATTCTTACTAAATCAAAATTGATGGTGACCGATGTCCTTATTTAAACCTCGATACTAGATGTCGAGTCACACGGTAATAAATATACCAACATTTCTTAGTTGCTTCGATATGTGCGTGTTTACAGTGAAGTTTTGGATTCCAGTGAACGTTATACTTTCATTACTGAAAATCTTTCCCAGCAAAAAATTATAGATATTATAAATTGGTCAAAACTTTTACTCCAATTTAATCACAAATGTAGAAACAATTATGAAATGTTGGTTTCACTTGCAGGAATTGAATACAAAGATACGGTAATATTTGTTAAAAGTAACAATTTTGAAATTATGAACTTTCCAAGCAATTTCGAAAGTGGTAACAGTGAAGAAAAAACAACACATTGCATGGTACACTTGTTTGCTAGGTAATTAATATCGCACACTTAAAAGAGAAAATACAGTTTCATTTGACATCTATCTATGGCCTGACATTCTCATATTGAATCATTCTCAAAATTCACAGGATTACAACACATTGGGAAAAAAGTCAACCTAGCTTCCTTTAATTTGCATTTTTTATTTTTGTACTCGAAAAGCAAAACTTGAAGTCCCATTATTTTTTTCATGCTTTATATTCTGGTTTAAGATTTGAATGTGATGAAATAAAATTTGAACAGCATCTGCTTACCCTTCCAGAGGAACTGAAATCATCCCCAGTTCTTTTTGTTGGGTTCCTGTTGTTCAGTTTGCAGTTTGTTTTGGATAGTGTTTTATGGTTTGTCTTTTCGTCGTCTTTCGTTTTTTGTCATGGCGTTGTCAATATCTTTTCGTCGTCTTTCGTGGTTTGTAATGGCGTTGTCAGTGTCTTTTCGTCGTCTTTCGTGTTTTGTCATGGCGTTATCAGTGTCTTTTCGTCGTCTTTCGTGTTTTGTCATGGCGTTGTCAATGTCTCTTAAATACAATTTAATCGTAGATTTATGAGTTTGCATGTCATCTTGGTATCCTACGCCTCACTTTTATATGACATTATCTTTAGCTTTCCGATTTCTTTTTTTTTTTAAATTAAAAAAAGAGTATCTCATTATGAATGCAAACACTTGACAGCATAGCAAGCTTTTAAAGAATTATATATCCTGCATCACTTAGTAATTTTAGTAGACTATATAAAATAAAGTTTGGTTGCTTAATCAATAAATAGCGGTTTAACGCCTGAGCTATGTCGCGGCGACAGTATAGTTTAGACATCGCTGCATGGCTGTCAAAATCCTCTTGCCTATAAAACACACATTGTATAAAACGAAAACAAGCGAAACACATTGTAAATTCTACTGATGTAGAATTTTTCAAATCTTTCAATTATTTTCCTAATTCACTTCATATAGTAAATATTTCTTGATGAAACTTGGGAGCGGCAGCTGATCCACACGGTCAAGTACTTTTTCGTGTAAGATATCTCGAATTAACAATCGTATTGTATGCTTGAGAGGTCTTGGTGTATTGGCATGTTTAATAAGGTATCGTCGCTCTACTGGACTCAGAACATCATTCTTTTGTATATGATCTTTATGTATAACCTGAGCAGCATATACCAGTATATCCATCATTTCTTTGTCTGTGCAGTTACCTAAATAGTTAAGTATTCCGAATGGGTCCTGTCTGCGATACCTTAATACATCCGGGCGAATATTTACTTTTGCTCCATACTTAAGCAGCAATAATAAAATATCTTTTTCTGCGTTGTAAGGGGAATTTTTTAAGTATTCAACAATGGGGGACATGCAAGGATGCATGTAGCTAATGTACTGAGCACTTGCGTTTACATTTGCACCATGTTCAAGAAGTATCTTGATAATTTCTTTACGCTCTTTCAATTCTTGCGTTCCTGCAGCAAGCATAAGTGGAGTACAACCATCATCTGTTGTTTCATCGACTCCTGCATTGTGAAAAAGCAGAAAATAGACGATATCCGAACGGCCTTTAAGAACAGCCGTGTGAAGCGGGCTATATCTATAGTTTTCTGATCTGGTTAATTGTGCTCCCTCTTTGATAAGAAGTTCAGTTATAGCAATATTGCCACTTTCTATTGAAAAATGTATCGGAAATTTCTGGTCAAATCTTGACGGGCATTGTGCATTTATATCCGCGCCATGTTTAATCAATATTCTTACTGCTTCAATATTATGTTCTCGACAAGCTTTCATTATTGGAGAAATGCCACATCTATTAAACGAATTTGGGTCGGCGCCATTTTCTAATAAAATTTCCAAGCACTCCAAGTTCTCAAGATTCATAACATTTAACTGGTATCCAATAAAATACTGGTGATTTGGGCGTGCCCCGCTTTTTAACAAAAGTCTAACACATTCTACATTGTTGTTTTCAATGGCTAAGTTTAAGGGTTCCATCGTCAGATAACCGATTGCTCTGACATTCTCTGCGAGTTCACTTTCATCAGCATCGCAATAATTTACCAACGCACCCTTTTCGATAAGCGCCTTCATTGAGCCATATACACCTTTCCTGGCACACAAATGGAGTGGTGTATATCCAATTTCATCAGAAATATTCACATCGGCACCCTCATCTATGAGAAAATGGACGCATTCGATATAATCCACGTATGCGGCATAATGAAGGGGGCGTAGTCCTTTTTTAACGGGTCCATTGATATCAGCGCCACATTTTAGAATTGATTTTATATCTTCAATAGGCGATTTCATACTGATAGCATCTGCTAATAGTCTTTGTTTTTGTTCTAAGGACCATGACGTTTGCTTATCTTCTTCTTGATCATCTTTGGTACTATAAGTATTTACTTCTCCCTCGTCCTAAATACAAATGCATATTTTATATAATGAAAATCATTACTTCTGAAAGTGCTGAGCAAGTTAATGTGTAACAAGTTCCTTTAAAATGTTTACTATGAAAAAAGCATGGATGTATGAATTAGTGTTTACATTCAGTGGCAAAATCACATAAATATCAGGACAAATTAAGAATACGTTAATTTGATTTTGAAAGTGAACACTGTTTTGTATTAAGCTGGATTTGTCCAGCGCTACTTCACAAAATATTTCACTAAGGATATTTTTTTTATGTAATTCTGATATATAAAGAAGGTTTTGCGGTTTTATATGACAATTATTCACAATATGTCGCCTGTATATTCGATTATTATATAAGTTGTATGTCCATTTAACGCTTCCCATTTCACTTAAAACACATGACAGCTGTAATAGCATGCATGTCCTTAGGTATGTGAGGTTTCACTCTCATTTGCGCCTGACATACAAAGTAATTTTAACATTGTCGCCATTCTTGTATATCCTAGTATCATTTCCAAGGAGAAATACCCCGTGAAAAATTAGCAGCTATTTTTTTAATAAGAAATGCAGAAAAAATCGACAGCTGATTATACTTTCTTAAGGTAACAACATACGCATATAGTAACTGAACAATCGGAATAAAAATGGAACTCCAATTACAATGTAAAAATAAAGACCGTAACAACTTTTTTCTACTACTTTGTAATTTCAGAAACAAAAGAAAAATGTGTTTTGTATAATGTAAGGAACAAAAGTGAATCACAAAAAAGCAATTCGAACTTGGCATATTTCCAAGAAGATTTGTGATATCGTAAACAAGTTATTTAGTGGGAAAGTGCATAATACACATAGGTTTAGTGAATAAAACTAACTATTACATTTATCAATACGTTCAAAAAATTAAATTCCAAATTCAGTTAATTCTTAGAAGCCGTTTTTTCTTAAATTTAAAATGCCTGATCATTTCTTTCTAAGGAAGAACAACTACTAATACATTAAACAATTTGATATCAATAGTTTTGGTAATTACTGAAAGACTCACGAACATAGAGATTTAAACAACAGCAATTTCAGTAAACTTATCATTCAGTACTATTTTCGATTTTATGGTTCATTTGAACCCTTTGTAATGGTTTTATTTTAGTTTTTTGGTGAAGCATTTTTGTTACTTTTGTGTTAATCAGTCAAGAGCTTCAAAAATCTAACATAACTTCTTGGTTCTCATTTGTTAAGAAACTATTAGAAGTTTTTGAAATTAAACAAGAAGTAAAACATTTTGGACAATATAAATTTTTGAATATATCTAACAATTTAATTCACACTAAATATATAAACAATTGGTTAGCCAAAAAAATGCTTCTGGTGAAAAAATGGTTCAATTATTTGAAATTTAAACAAAATTTTGGCTATGAAAATTATCTCTCTTTGGCTAAGAACTTTGAGTTTAGAAGAGCTATTTGTAAATTACGTATATCTGCTCATAAGCTTTTGAACTTGGTCGTTTTTCAAATATTCCACGAAATGAAAGAATTTGCAAAAAATGCTCCTCTGGCTGTATTGAAGATGAAATCCATTTTTAACTTCATGTGAAAAATTTAACTCTGACAGAGATGCTCTCTTTAACTTTGTTTGTCATAAAATGCAAAACTTTACTTTACAGGACAATCAGCAAAAATTCATATATTTACTGAGCTGTGAAGACAATCAGGTATTTTTACTCCCCCCCCCCCCCCCCCACCTCCCTCAAAAGCTGTCCACCCCCTCATCTATGCTAATCAATGTTCTTTTTCCTTATACATGTATTCTCTATATGCCCCTTGTGGGCCCTTAATTGGTAATAAAATATATCTCTATTGGTCAAATTTCATCAGCTGAATGTGCTGAACCATACTTTCATGATATAAAAGTTTGTTTGTCCATATGCTACTATTTATTACTATGGTCCCTGATAATTAAACTAATCAATTTTGAAAAGAACCGACGACGTCGAATATTTTTCAGTGTTTTCTTTTTAATCTTATAAATAGAAACGAGAAAAGAAGGACATTTTGTCTCTGCTCCAATGTGTATCACCTCCTCAATTAATATTGCATATTGTTATACAATCAATCATTGAAAAAATAGTTACACAAAGGTTTGAATAATTTACCTTGTTAGTTGTACTTTCATCAACTGATGCCATCTTCTTCACATAGCTCAGTATCACAAAACACACACGCGTATATGTAATTATAGGAACGTAAAGAGGTTACTATTGGGGTATCGCTTTTAACCGGTAATAAATGCATTATTTATAGCTGTTGATTATAGTTCTAAAGTATTTTATTGGAATTTGTATGTCAACCTATAACACGTTTTTCTTTTTACATCTGGATTCTCGTTGCCTGTTGAATGATGCCTTCTTGAATACATTGGTAATCAAATATTAATTTTAGCTCTTTTTTCATGTTGGTATCTCTGATGTCGATAGCCACTTACTGAAATTATATATGACTTTTCTATGGCATAATGCCATAGAAAACAATGTAAGATAAAATTCGTCTATCTGTATAGAAACAATTGTTAGATAAAAGTCGTCTTTTTGCCGAATTCGAATTAAAAAGAATATTGTTTATATAGACCTTAATTAATACCCGGCGCTGGGCATTCCAAACATATGTTTATATAAGCAGAAGATATAATATGACGCCATTTTACATCAGGCAGTTCCCACCGATGGATATTTCTATTGATTTTTATATTTTATATTCATTTCTTTACATTTTTATTTATACCTTAATTTGATGTTATACATTTTGTAGATGTAACATATATATATTTTTCAGAATTCGTGTGTTCGATTCTTAGACATACATGAGAATTTCATTTCTTCTTCATTGATCAAAGTTGGTCAGCAAAGTTCAGCAAAATAATTGTAAATATGTAAGAGTGTAGATTCTATTGTAATACAAGAATTCAATTTTTCCTCATCTCTTGTTTAAGGATCCTACCTATGTGAAATGTCTTAGCTCTTTTAGTGCTGAAACATGCGCATGTATTTTAGGATGAAAAGTTTTGAATTATACAAATTGATCAATGACATGCAGAACGATATAAAATATCAAACTTTGTCACTGTTTTTTTTACCTTACTTAAAATCTCTGTAAACCGTAATTTTTTAAAGCATTTATTAAAAGGGATTGCATGTTTACTATGTATATATATATATAAAATAAATTTCAAAATATTTGAATTATGAATTAGAATAGATCAGCGTTTTAGTTTTTATGAACGTTGACTTATGTAATTTATTCGGTTTAGTAAACAAAAATGTTACGACTCACAAGTGTTCATGACATTTGAGAACAGCCAACAGAAAGTTCGATAAAACATATCAACATTTGTGCCTAGTACGTCCTTGCTATTATGCCATGTGAATCCTTTTGATTTAGTCATTCAGTATCACGATGTCTTTATAGTTTGCCTATTGTATAGTGTTTCGCTCCTGTTTGGTCATGTTTAAAGAAGAAAAAGCCATAAAATAGTAAACATTAAAAATAAAAATAAAAAAAAATGCGGGGAGCAACGGTTAACCTATGCAGACCTGTACCAAGATGGTGGTCGAATAATTATAATTTTGTTAAAACAATATATTAAAGCATAAGTATTTTTTTTTAATTTAGAAAAATGTTCCCTAGAAGAAACTTATGGTTGACAACGAATGGTAAGTTTAATTTATTTATTTTGAATGGGGACATATAATTGGAACCCCACCCCTTTTATCCTGGGTTAGTAACCCCATTGTGTTTAACGACATTGACTGACTATAAAACCCTCGCACGGTCGGATGGTTTTGTCTTAAATAGTATTAAAGATGGTTGTCTTCTTAAAAAGGACGAGTTGCCTTGTGGCGATGTGTTCATCATTCCACAAAACATCGCCGTTTATTTGGACAGTCTAAGGGAGGTAACTTGTATTTCAACTTGACGAAAACGAGGTTTACCGGGATATTTGGAACTTCCGTAAACACTGGGCGTGGTAAGTGTCTGTGTACAGTCCGTTACGGATTTCTTAGCCTTTACTTTGCAAATAATTTTTAACAACATGACAGCTGTGCTTCTGATAACTAAACACTATCTACAGTTCCGTTGAAGGCATTAGGAAGTCTCAGACAAACAGCTAAGAGTGTTTTGATTTAGCCTTTAGGCATTTAGGACCAAACTGTCACATCAAACCGGACACAACCTATACCTTGTAAATTATGTACATGTAGGTTTATGTCCAAAGTCTAGAATCTTGACATTTGTTGGTTGCCTTTTTATCCGTTTTAACGTTGATATTTTTTCTGCTTTTTTATTAAGGGAATTTTGACTTTGTGTTTAACATGTTGAAGATCTTTCCTGATCATGATCCTAGGCTAAGGTCAATATAAGTCCAAATAATTATGACGTCTTGAAAGGCTATTTTATTTTTATGCCCTATACACAATGCTTATTACTACATAATACAGATTAAGTACGAAATTTGGTTGTGACACTTTTACCATTCTTGAGTAATGTCCCTTTATAAACATAAAAATTGCTGAATTTTTCGTTTCCGTTCTCTTACTTTAGTTTGTCTCAACCAAATGGTATAAAACTTATACACAACCTTTCTAGAGTTATGCCTGTTTACAAATAGAAAAATTGCTGAATTTTTAGTTTCTGTTCTCTACTTAAGTTAGCCTCAACCAAATGTTATGAGACTTACACTCAATGCTTATTACCACAAAACTCGGATCAAGTTCAAATTTGGGTAGCGTCATTTGTACCATTCTTCAGTTATGTCCCTTATAACTATATGATATGCAAGCGGGGGCATCATCTGTGTCCACATGTGGACACTATCCACATTTTTTTTTTTTTTATGCCTTTCTATAATAATTTGACTAAGGTCAATATATATGTTGACACAACTAGTTTCTTTGTGTTTGCATGTTTTGTCTTAGTGCTATATAGAGATAGTTTCTCCGAGTAATTTCACACTGTACTTATATTTTATATATTATTTTTGTGCAAATTTTATAAACACAATTTTTCTATCGGTAGGTCTTTTCACCACCGAACACCACAAAAATATACATTTTTTTCTTTTATCGTTATAAATGTGACCTAAATATAATATTTAAGTTAATAATTATACAAATAATGAGAATAAGAGACCAAATATCTACATCGAACAGAAAAGGAGAGTCTATAACACCACGAACTCCGTAAACCACCACTGAACCCCCCAAATATCTTTATTCTTTTTAATTTTTCATTATAAATTCGACATGGCTGTAATTTATTATTAAATAGTTGTACCAATAATAAGAAAAAGAGACAAATATCAAAATCTAACTGATGAACAGAGGTAGAGGATACTTGAACTGATTACTAATTATGAATATATTTGAACTTAATTTGAAATGTATTAAAAGAAAAGCACGATTTTAATCAATTTCATTTGATTTGTCTTGTTTTTAACATACATTTACTAATATAAGTTTTGTTTATTGCATTTGTGTTTGGAAGCTGTATACAAATGTTGTCTAGTAAAATCAATAGTATTTGTTATGATCATTATTAAGATTAATTAAACAAAAACAACCCACTAATCAGGTCTATGTTGAAAAATTGAAAAGAACAGATGGCTACTAGACTTTTTGTACTCAATCACGCTGTCAAAAGAAACAAATATTTAAAAGAAGTCCTAAATATAATAAAACAAAAAAGTTATAATATAGCTTTTTTGTTTTATTAACAATGTCTCAAAAGAAGTCATTTCACATTTTTTGTTTTGTTAGCGACGTCTCAAATCTTCTGTAAAACAATTGAAAAGTGAAACCATAAAGTACTGGAATCACAATTGCTTCCTGTTAATGTTATTGGATCATCTTTTACTTTCGATAAAAATAATTGGACAATATTTTATTTCCTGTTAATATCATTGGTCAAATTTACGATTGGTTCCAAAATCTAAAGAGATTGATCAAATGGTATATACAAGAACAAGAAATAAATCTAAAAAATCTCACAAAATTTATAACTAAAGTATCAAAGTTTATCAGAAAATTCTAAAAGCCTAAACGCCAAATTTCGTACCTAAAAAGGTCTGTTTTCTGGCCCTGCAGTGACTGCAGACTGAATTGCACTAAGAATGCAGTACAATGTGACTCTTGCAAATGATGGTTCCACTATGACTGTCAACCATTATCATTACAAGATATCAATTTATTGGTAACATACAGCGTTTCCACGTTCTGTTGTTTGACCTGTTTGAGAGTAGAAGTAGGGTCAACCTACTCTTATTCATCTGGCTTACTTCGCCTTAATTTGGTAATTATATGTTTTAATCTAACAAATTGTATAGTATATTTGCACAATTCTTCTTAGTTTTTGACAATTAATATAATAATTATTGTTACAAAAAATGACACAAAACAAATTAAAAATGCAAAATACTGGCAAAAGAAAGCAAACCAGCCATCCAATAGAAACAACATAGCTGACGAGTTCCTCGAGTTCTAAGTATGCTTAACGACCATCCATTTGTTCAACAGGTTATACATAAAAAAAGTGCCATCTATCCTCTTTTATATTGATACAGAACTTTTAATTTGGGAAGCTTTTTTGTGACTGCCTAACCCTTAGTCTACAAACATCACAGAGTTATAAAAAAAGATACCAAAGACCACCCAATATTTATTGGTTCAATCCTCCTGCACAAAAACACATCCTACTGGACAAGAAAAGAAAAAGGAAAATAACAATTAGTTCCTCCGATGGGAAATTTTATGTTGTCAATAAGGCTAAAACCATTGCCAAGAAATCTTTCCAAAGGAAACAACCAAAAAATGAGAGGACAGAAAAACGATAAACACTCTGGTTTAAAACTTAAAAAGAGAGGCGAAAGATACCAGAGGGACATTCAAACTCATAAGTCGAAAATAATCTGACAACGCCATGGCTAAAAAAGAAAATTCTCTTTAAATATTATTTTTTTTGGACAGAGGTAAAAAAAAAATTTGGGGGGGGGGGGGGGGGGTGCAATTTTTTTTTTCTTAAGATTTAAGAAATTGTCAATTTTCCAAAGAAAAAAATTGGGGGTCACAATTTATTTTGCTAATACTTTGTATATAGTCTGAAAACAGATTTACAAAGTATTGTGCAACAGCACAGTGTATTGCACAAATCCAAGAAATCTTCAATTGAATATAAATTCAAATCATACAACTAATTTCAAGTTCTTTGGCTACATTTATTCTGTGTCAGAAACTTATAATGTGTCAAATATTTAATTACAATCCAAATTCAGACCTGTATTGCGCAACAGCACAGTGTATTGCACAACAGCAAGAAATCTTCAATTGAATATAAATTCAAATCATACAACCAATTTCAAGTTCTTTGACTACATTTATTCTGTGTCAGAAACTTATAATGTGTCAAATATTTAATTACAATCCAAATTCAGACCTGTATCAAGCTTGAATATTGTGTCCATTTTTGCCCCAACTGTTCAGGGTTGGACCTCTGCGGTCGTATCCAGCTGCGCTCAGCGAAGCAGTTTATTCATACATGTATCTAAAATAAAGACATGTCAATATTTCATGTATTTACTGCCATATACTTGTTAGATGCAGGGATAATCTCCTTAAAAAGTCCTATTTATCTGTTTATTGCTCACATCATGCACATGGTAGTGTGTTAGCTCAAAAGATTCCGACTTTTCTAAAATGTTGTCCTTTCACTGCAGATCATTTTTCTTTTAACAGATTTGAGATATCTGTTGTCGTTTTAGAGATAATGCAGTTTAAAATTTTGCAAGCGGAGGCATGTTTTTCTGAATCAACAACAGTTTACCACCTGAAATTTTCAGAAATTAAAGAGTTCAACATGGTTAAATGTTTGACCAAATAACAAAAACATTCAATGAAAAAAAACCCCAAAAAATCAATTTGAAATTTTCATGTTTTGCATTTACTTTGTAAGTTTCATAATTTCTATTTATACAATTGATATTGCATCATTTTGGCAATTTGCCAAATGGGGTCATTTGATATATCAAATTGAAGGTCTTAACGATCTCTACTCAAAAATGAAAATGTTAAACCCCTTTTACATCCCAGGGGGAATGGTGGGGTCATTTAGTGCAAACAATTCAAACTTCTCAGATGGTTAGGTTGTCGCATATCAAATGAAAGTCCATAAAGCGTACATTTCAAATATAAAATTGACGTCCCCCAAAAATGGGTTGGGTGGGGTCATTGAGTGCAAAAAATAAAATTTTCTTTTAAGGTTAGGTTGTTGTTTTCAAATGAAAGGTCGTAACGTGTACATTTCAAATATCAGATTCCTGTCCTCTAGAAATGAGTTGGATGGGGTTATTAAGTGCAAAAATTAAATTTTCTAGAACATGGCGTTGTCGCATATCAAATGAAAGATCATCAAGTATACATTACATATATAATACTATCGATCTCGAAAATTAAGGCGGATGGGGTCATTAATTGTAAAAAGCGAAAAGTTTCAGAAGGTATGCTTGTCGTATATCAAATGAAAGGTCGTACAAAGTACATTACGAAAACATCACTTTAACAGGAAAGACCTTTCAATTGTTTTACAAACAATTGAGATACTAGTTTAGATTTGTAATTATTCAATAAAAAATTATTTTGAATTGAACAGTTGAAGTTCTGGCCAGTTTTAGAATTTTAGTCATATTTACAAAGGGGTAGGTGTGGTAAGAACATTATTAGACTCACAATATCAAGTCCATTATTTCAAAACAAAATGTTTCAAGTTGATGAATAAACGTGTGAGAAAGTTCAATACAAATTTTTTTGCAGAATTTGCTGATGAAATGTTATCATTTACACTCAAAATAGGCCAAAATAAGAAAAAAGAACTTTTTTGTCGACACATGCTGTATAACATGTATTAGTTTGGGTCAGTGGAAACAATTTGAAATTGGCCTGTTTTCATTGAATTCGATTGAAAATTGAAATTGATCCTATTTGTGATGTCATAAAAAGAATGTTGATACCTCTTTTTTTCAAAAATAGACATTTATCTAGTCATTGTTTTAAATATGATTCATTGTGATAATATAGCCTTTACTAATACCTACTTATTTATAATTTTAGCTAGAAAAAAGGGCCTTACCAAACCTACATGTACATTTGTACTTCTTTTATTGTAGATAAAAATATTTGAACAAATTACATGTATTTACTCAGTCTGAAA